CAAGTGAGTGTGTGTATTGGCCGATTATATATCGGAAGTTTACGTGACGGCTTTATTGTGCCTACTTGCACGTGTTGGGGAGAGCAAGTTGCCTCCCTGGCTGGACGTGTATACTCGATTCTCGACGCCAGAATGGATTATCAAGCCGAAGTCACTCTTCGGACGAGCGGTGCAGTTCGCTGTACTGTTCTCTCCATGGCACATCATTGTGGAGCGAGTCAAAGAAGTTAACTGTGCGTTCATACAAATGCTACAGTCGGCAGTGACAAGCTTCCTTTCAATCGACGACTCACTAGCGCTCGTAGCACCGCCAAACAAGGGTTCCCCAACAGCTCGGATGTACCCGAACTTGCTGTACGCACGTCTACCGAAGACCCACAAAGGTTTTGTGGTTTTATTTGATGGTACTGCAAAAACGGAGAAGTACGGTGGCTTTGGAATCTGCTCTTGAATTGCGTGGCGACTACTAGAGTGCCAGATAGTGGTCGCCGGGAGTGTTTACCTTGAGAAGACGACAGTGAACGCTGATTACATGGGATGATCAACGGAATTCTTGCAGCTCTCGAACATGGTGCAAACGACGTGATTGGAGATTCGAGGTTCGCAATACACTAGGGGCGTTGGCGTGCCGGAAAGAGTCTCTTATGAATCAATTGAGTCGCCACAAGGAAGTCACGGCGCGCCTTAAATCGATGAAGTATTTCCACATGACTCGTGAATACAACGCTGCAGCCGATTCACTGACAACTGAGACTGCGGCGTTTAAGACGTCGAAAGTGGTGCTGAGCGAGAGTCAGAAAGCTGAATTACGAGAGTTCAATCGGATTCCAGAGGTGATCTATCACAAATCGAGGGAAGCTGAGGTGAAAATTCTTGTTTCAACAGCCTCTATCCAATTTACTGAAACTGTTCACCGACCAACTCGGAGGATGATTGCAAATTTCGTGCGAGATGAACCCCACATGGAACCTCACATGGTCATGGCGACGCCTCGATCACAGACTGGAGCTCGAAAGAAGAGAGTTCGGTTCGCAAACGAAGTGCCAAGTCAAGACGCTGGCTCACAAGAGAACATGAGTCACAAGACAGACAGACCTACCGACGACTCGCAAGACGAGCAGCAGACTGGGGCAGCACAAGCTCCGCCAAGTGAGCCAAACTCTTAAGATGTCGATCCGGGTTACCATTCAAGAGGAGCGAAGACGACGTATAGCGTTGGCCCAAGACGAGGAGCTGCACTGATCGAACCTCAAATCTGTTCTTCGATGCGAAGACGAGAAGCTTGGATACTGTGCTGCTCATGACGCGCTAAAATTAGCCAACAAGTTTGTGCTCACTAACGACGGTGTCCTACATTACGTGACAGCGAGCCATTCGACAACGTCGCGGAAACAGGACGAGATTCACCTTAAACTTGTGGTACCTACCACGATGGTCCAGGAAATTCTTTAAAATTGCGTCGGCTCGCTGAGAAGGCGGACACCAAGAGGTAGTGTGGACTTGCCAGCGCGTGAAGCGTGACTACTACTGGCATGGCTCTATGCAGATGTGGAGAAGCATGTGAAGTCGTGCCCGAACTGCAGTTCGAGCAAAAGTCGACCTCACTTGCGTGGATACTCGCCTGGCAACGTGCTGGCTGAAAGACCCTTTCCAATTGTGTTTATGGACTTTATCATACCATTGCCAAAGTCTCGGCGAGGAAACACAGCGCTTCTACTATTCCAATGTGGCTTCACTGGGTACGTGATTGCCAAGCCCATGACTGAGACTGCCGCTTCTTATCAGACATGACCGTGACCCGTGCTTCATGAGCGAGGTGTTCCAAGCGTTTGCTGAGATGATGCACTCCAGATCACGAACAACATTGAGTTATCGGCCACAGTGCGATGGTCAGCAGTAGAGATTGGTCAAGATGGTGATCCAATCAGTCAGAGTGCACACAGACCCGTTCCAACAGGACTGGGACTAAATCGCCGATCAATTGGTATTCGCCATAAACAACTCTCAGGATACGACGAGGAAGGAGACTCTGTCCACTGGTGGGATGGCCATATTACGCTCAAAGCTATGTCTGCTCAGTCGCTTTCATTACTTGGTCCTTGGCAGCAACAACGAGATTGTTGAAATTTTCGAGATCGGCTTTTGCACTTGCGTCAAGAGATACCGTCTCGGGGAACACTGTGGTATCTGCGACTGAAGTCGGAGACCTATGAACGAGCACTTCAGTGTTGCTACGATGACTTCTCCGCCTTCGTAGCTTCTGAATCACCTCTCGAGCCTCGCGCTCGGACTGAATTGCAGTCAGGACGGGGAGCGGAACGGGCGACGCTTACAAATGAAAAGATGGTGGAGTTACCACGGGATGTAGGTCGTGAAAGCGACGGTAATCTTCCTATTGATGGAGTTCTCGGCTTCGATAGTATGATTACTACACCACATGACTAACGCATGAGTGAAGATACGCAACAACGGCAACAACGCAATCGACTTACCGGCATGACGAACTGGAGAAGGTGTACAACGTGGCAGCAATTACCAAAACCGAAGCAGGAGATGAAGACCCTACAACACCCCACTACCATTTTCAAGCAGTGGACTACAAATGTAACACTACGATCGGATACTTCACTATTGATGATGCTTTTCCAAGGCGACATTGAGGTTCAGGAAAGTGTGGTCTAAGGCCTGGGTGGAAGTCGAAGCACAAGCGAAAACAAGCATGGAACGCTCTTTGAGCTTGAGTTCGCACGTCTTTATAAGAAATTACATGTTTACAGAATCGTACAGAAAGAGGGGTCCTCCTCGGATCTACCAGTAACCACGATATGTCGGGCTCTTTACTAAAATATATACAAAAGTAGCCCAAACACAGTAAAATGTGCGCTAGTATTCCCGAAGTTAGTATTTTCTAGTCCTCCTCACGCGACAAAGTTAATCTATTTAATCTTATACTACTTGGAGGGTGGTTGATATCATTCCGTTTCAAAATGTTTTGGACATTTATTGTTGGAAATCGTAGCGACCCAACCGCTTAGAATTAGAACCTCAAATAAAGACGAAGATGAAGCTCTCATTCGCTTCTATAGGTCGTAAAACCACGCCATTGATTGAGGACAAAGCGGCTTGTCGATCAACCTCCAAGTGGTGTAAGATTAGAGAGATTCTCTTTGTCGCACCGGTTTGGGGTCATTTTTGTTCAATTTCCAAAAAATTGCTCTAGAACCTACTCGCATGGTCTGTCGCAAACAAATATAATCCGCTCTAATCGGGGTTAGTTTTGAAATAAGTTCAGAGGGCCACATCAATATGATTCGCTAATAATATTTTCGACCAATAAGATAATTTCAGGGTGCCAATCGGAATGAAAATGATTCTTAAACGGATTTTTCAGGACAATGTCAGGACAAACATATTAGCCAATCAACAGTCGGATTAGAGTGTATTAAATCTAAAGTCAAGATCGTGCGGCTCTATCGGCGATACGGTGCAGTCGTACAACCGACACCCAAGTTAGCTGCCCTCTGCGTCGCTTTTGAGTGTGTGCCGTCCTCAATGGTACTTCTAGTGCTGAAGAACACGCTGCATAAACTCTGACAACCTCCTCCACGGTTTGCCTCCGACGAAGTAAGTTCCTTGCTGTTGCAATCGCTTCCAGTTTCTTCATCAGGTATCGAGCGTCACTGAATCGCTTCTGGCTGTTTCTATTAGGCATGTCGACACCGTCAAGCACACACAGAGGTGGTAACTGCTTCTCAGCGTTACAGCAACGCCAAAGGACCCACAGGTTCGCAACAGACCACTCAGGGAGGACGAAGTCGGAAGGAACTCGGCGAAACCTCCCGGCCCAAAAGAATATTGAGGGTGTGACACGATCGTCCGTTGATGTTGAATCTTGCGCCGTTGGTGACTCAATGGCGTTGTGCTTATCGACGAGATCGTGAATACCTACTTCTGCGAGACAATTCCGCAGAGCATCTTGTAATCCATCGTAAGTTACCGCCCGCGTACTAATAGCCCGATCTTCTAATTCACGCACGATGTCCTTAACTATTTCGTGGCGAACTTCTTCAATTTTTTCGATAGTCGACAGCGTTTTGTTTTGTAGTTCCTTCATCTGGCTCAATATTGACACATGCGGCGGAAGACCGGTTGCTTTTAACTTCGAGTTGGGTCCACTAAAGCCACAACACGCACGTTCCGATAGATTTTCTAACTGTGCAGCATCCTGAAAAATCGCTGTCTCGAAGAGAGGACGGCGAGGTGGGAGGTGTGTTCGCAGGAAGGGTACGTGAAATACTAAGGATACGAGACAAAATTCTCCAACGAAAGATAAGTGGTCTGGTATCCCATGGAAAACGGTCGTAACCCCACGCTGAACTCAGTCATCTTGCTCCACGAAGTGCGGAGGCAATATAGCAAACTCACAACTGTTAGTAAGCAGTCCAGCAACAGTTCTCCCGACATGCATATCCCCTGCAGCCTCATAGCGTAGATATGTGTTCTGAACACCACCCAGAGACCAGCCTGCTCGCAAGTGCACCGCCGTAGATGATGGACAAGCGGTAGAACCAGACGCACAGTATGTGGCTGCCCCTTTGCGCATTGAATGAGTACCGAGATCACTTGGGTTAACTCCTCGTCGCTTTAACTCCACCGAAACCATCTCGTCTTCCAGTAATCGGTACAAACGCTTACGGAACCGGTCATATTGATCCGACCCTGGAAATAGGCGATTGTCCACATCAAAAGTAGAAGTCGCCCAGTAAATGGCAAGTGCCAATATCGGACATACTGATGGCTGTAGTGGGTTAGCGTACACATGACGCGGGTCACGTGGGCGATCATTACCCTGATCATATTTCATTTGAGCAAAATAGACTATCAGTGAGTCACCACCCCATTCAATGTGTGAATGTCGAACGTCAAATGCATTTGCAGAACGGCACATGAGATTCCACGAGATAACCAAGTTCACCCGAGCGAAAATTGCGTCACTTCCTGGTAGTTCCAGCAAATGGCTAGAAAGAAATTCGTAAAGCTCAAATGATACTGGGTCTTTCCCCCACTTTGACCTGGCCTTCTCCACAAGCTTGGGCCGTTGCAAGTTGCAGTTTAAGTCCTTTGAAAAACTGCTTTAATTCCTTCTCCATCGCAGGTCCCATTTGCTGTACATAGTCTCGATATATGTTAAATAATCCAGCACGGTGTGTATTGAAAGCAGAGTAGCTGAGCATCGAGCCGTCCGCTTTGCGAAGAGTAAGAAGCCAAGTTTCGAATACTTCCGGATCTAAATTTCCAAAAGTAAGAGGAGGATCGTCGTGCTTTCGAGTGAGTAGTGGCTTGATACGCCGTCGTATTTGCGCTTCTGAGAGTCCTTCTGTTACACCCACGCGATCCGCGAATGCAACCGGTATGAAATTGGGGTGATTCTGATGTACCCACGAGACAAAGCGGCAATAAGAATTCACATACGCGGCGCGCGAGCTCGGGCTGACGGTGTTGTCACAAATCTGCTCAGCTTGGCGCCTTAATTCGGCAAGAGCGCTTGTGTGCTCCTCATGGTAAGTAAATGGTGCCGCGGACAACTTGTCCTGCAAAATCACAATATGAGTGGGTTTTCCAGCGCCTAGAATTAGTACTAGTTTTTGTATGCCAAATTGATTATGGCAATTTCGGGTTGGAAAATCAGGACATTCGGTCCTGGAGTAAACTTTAGAGGATCACTGAATGTCCTGCAAAATCTGGAGAATGTCCAAACAAATGTCCAAATTTTTCGAAACGGAGCTGATACAAATTAAATCTCTGTAAACTTATGCAAGCTCAAACGCCACTCCGTTTTTTTTTTAAAGGAGTTTGCATAAGTTTCCAGAGATATAATATAACTTGTATAAGTTTACAGCGGCACTGTAAGTGGATTCTCCAAAACTAATACAAGACTCTTAAAACTGATATTACTTCCTCAAACATGATAAATATACCATCCACACAAAAATCGCAGATCACTAACACCCGAGCCGAGCCGCGCAGCAGGATGTCCTTCTTCGGATTCGGTAAGAGCAAGGAGCCGGAGTCCACCTCCTCCTCTTCGGAGTCGTACACATATGAAGAGCCCACGTACGACTACAGTGCGCCAGCGGTGTCGTCGTCCTTCGACTCGCCGTCCTCGTCGCCCTCGTCATCCTTGGGTGGCGGTTCATCCACAGGCGCCGCGGAAATGCAGCAGCTGATTATAGAAGAGCAGCAGCGCGCACTGATCCAGCAGGCTATCTCGAAGATCACGGCCTTAGCCTGGGACAAGTGCAGTGCCAGCAAGCCCGACTCGGAGCTCTCGTCCAAGGAGAAGGACTGCATTAAGAACGTGACGCTCGCCTATCTGGACACGAGCATGTTCGTGGTGCACCGCCTCAATAAATCCGGCAGCGCTTGATGGGAGCCATGACGATAGAGGCTCCGCAATAGCAGCAGCGCCCCTACGAGAACCCGGTATAGGCGAAAAGCAGCAGTAAAACGACAGCCAGACCAGTCAGGACGTTAACGTCGAGATAAATACGCAAGCGAGCAGTCCGCGGCCGTGCAGTCTAAACTCGAGTCTATTATTCTACGGTGCTATCCTGTCTGTTTAGCTTTCCATTGTATTCTTGCGTCTCTCTACCTAGGCTTCTCCTCCTTGTCAGCAGAAGAGCGACCACAACTTCTGTACACGAACAGCGGGACGTTGCCGTAGGGTCCGGTGTCGTAGCGCTCGTCGGGAGTGAGGCCGCGGATTCCCCACGTATTGCAGATGATGCGCACATCCTTGTCGGTCTGACTCAGCAATTTGGTGAACTTGGGCGTCAGCTGATCCAGCGCGTCGGGCAGCAGGTATGTGACGAGGACTGTGGCTTCCGAGAGGTCCTCCTCCAGTAGATCACCGTGTGAGACGCTCACGAGTTGCTGCAGGTCATTGGAGGCGATCAGCTCGCGGAAGCGCTTGATCAGGAAGTCTTCGATTTCCACGCCACGAGCGCGTGCGCCATAACGCTTGGCGGCCTCAATACAGATGCGGCCGTCACCACAGCCCAAGTCGAACAGAACCTAACAGAGACGACAGCGAAGTACAAGTATGACGTACGAAAGGGTGAGACAACGGGCTTGGGCTTTCCTCGTATAATTGGCCTAGGGACGCACATCGTCGGGGGTCACACGCGCGATCTCTACTATCTTAGAAACGACGTCGTGCTCACTCTGGCAGGGCGGCGCCAGCGAGTCGCCCTCGATCCACATGAAAGCGCCAGGGTTCTGCTCCTCCTCGTCCGATTCCTCGTCAAAGCGCACGGGCTTCGGCTCCTCCATATTCGTGTGGTGTTTCACTGTGGCCGACGAGCGCCAATAGGTGATAAACCTTCAACAATTAATGCCTGTCCAATATGTTTGTACGTCAAACACTTCTTAAATACAAACCTGCATGCCGTTCATGTTAACCGGTCTAAATTAATAGTGAAACATCGCGAGCACCTAGCTCGCCCACATCCCTGCTGTCGGCGCCGGCGGAGGCTCCAGCGGCAGTGCAGCAGCTGAAGAGAAGAGCGATATCTGCTTCAAATGGCCCACGGAGTTGCGGCGAGCGTGAGTTAGTTGCTGGATAGAAGTTTGTAGATCGTCTTCTTCTGCTCGTGCCTGAGCCAGCGCTAGTTTCAACTCAACGCACCGGCGCTCTGCTCGGCGTACGGCGTGTCGTCGCTCATCCCGTTCCGCCTTGGCCACTGCAGCTGCCACTTTCGAGTCTGCCAGCTCCTTCTGGAGTCGCTGAACATCTTTCTCAGTGTATTTTGGAGACGAAGCTGCTGTCGGGGACTCGCCACCGCTGCTATTGCCACCATCGTCGCTGCTTCGACGGAGCAGCAACTTGCGAAGCGCTGAGGCTACACGTGCCTTCCTCTGCTCTTCTTCCTGCTGTTGTCGCCGCTGTAGCTGTTTAGCTTTGAAAAACTCGGCGTCTTGAATCTGCTTTTCCGTCGTGTACGTCTCTGCGATGGCCAGGTCCCGGTCCTGGAGAAGCTTAATGATCCGTCGCTCTAAAAGTGCAATGTACTCGCGGTTTTCGTCACGCTCGAACTGTAAAGCTATCAACTTGTCGTCGAGCATGCCCCACTCTCTTCGAGCACAAGACAGCTGATCCCATGCCATCTCCAGTTCACCTTCAGCTTCAGCTAACGCGAGTCGTGCTTTGCCGGTATGTTCAAACGGCGGCCACCCTTCTTGTTGTATCGCGTCAGAGCTTGTAGAGTTAGCCTCCTCGTCGATACCATCGCTTACGTCACTCGCAGCTTCGAAGCTGGAGAAAAATTCTCCAGGAGGAAAAGTCAAGTCGTCTGCTGATGCGGAGAGCAGCCATTGCACGAACGGCTCAAAGGCAGCGAGTGCCTCTGTCGGCGCTTTGGGATGCACTCCGGCATCGACACTCAGCTCCTCTGTTGACGCCTCGGACGGCATCCTTGTGTCGGCAATCTGCTCTGAATGTCCATGCATTTTTAGTCTTCGCTAAAAGTGTAGCTTCTCCACAATTGTTGCTTCTTCAAATAGATATCATCAAAAAGAGCTTCAAGTTATTGGTGTAGATATAAGAAGTCCAGGACATTAAGCCGACGGCTTTGTATACTGTTGATTCTAGCGAGAGTTGTGGCGGTTAAAGCGACGTAAAGACAATCGCTCCTGCTCTCCAACCTCGTCACTATTGCTATCCTCGACCAGTTCCTTCTCTTCTGCGCTTCTTTCTTCATCCAGCGTCATCTCCTTATTTGCTTCCCCCTCTTCGATACTCTCACTTCCATCTAATAGAGTACGGTGATATTGACGGAGCAGCTCTTGAATCGCCATAGCTTCGTCCCCACGTCCCAAGTGTTTGTACGCATTCAGGACTGTCCGCAACATGAACCTCCGCTTCAGAGCTCGTTTCTGCTCACCATCTAGCGACGAGAAATCCTCGAAGAGCATGACTACTTCCTCATATCGATGAAGGCGGAAGTTGGCTGCCATTCCGATCTCTGTCACTGCAATACCCAAGGGAATGTGCTTGTTTAGACGCAGTGCACGTACCATAGCAGACACTCGCTCGAGATCTTTAATGAGACCCAATCGATAGTAGTACACCACCACCTGCTCCAACGCTGCGTACTTGATCGGCATGCCATTATCCAACGCGTATACACACAGATCATCGACTAAATCAGCTCGATTAGCGCGAACACCAGCGACAATAGCTTCACATAAGATGAACTCATTCCACTCCAGCGAGTGCGGATACCACGAGAAAAACTTGCGTAGATCGTCCGCTGTCTCCACCTGAATTTGACCTTGTTCGTTGTCTACATGGTCGTCGGCACCATCACCACAATTCAGAGGCAGTGGATCGAGCAATAGCGTGCGCAGTAGTGGATAGATGGCGTGGTGGCTAACGGGAATTTTGTGCTGGTTCATGATATCTAAGATCTCACACGCCACGTCGAGCCGTTTGTCGCGAGTGTCAACAGTAGTAAGCGCAACTCGCTTTCTGAAAAGATACTTCGACACTCGCTCCTTGAGATCGCGACTTGCTTCTACCGACTCCATCAAGTTCCGATACATCTCCATCAACATCTCGTCTTCTCCCAAGTGATTCAACTGCTGCAAACAGATCTCGAAACGAAACTCCGTGAAGATCGACATGGGCATGTCCGGCGGGTGACTGTAAAACTTCATTGCGCGTTTGGATTCGCCACAAGCTGCTGCAGTCATCATAACCATCGGCAGCAGCGACATGGGAACAATCTCATCAGGCAGTTTAGTGACCATCTCCTCGCAGATCTGCATCACACGCTCAAAATCTGTAAACGTTTGGTCATGCAGCAGAGCATTCAGTATGTGGAAGTAGGATACTTTCGTCACATGAACACCATGGCGCTGCATTGTATCCAGCAGCAGCAGCGCTCCATCAGCATCGCGCAGATGCCCAAGCGCAACAAAAATGGACTGAGCCAGACGCGGTGTCAAGATACTGAGGCTCTGTATGTTTTGTTTCTCCCCCCTGTAGCACGCGGAGAACTTGTCCGCGACGTCGTGGAATCGCTGTTGGCTGTTGAGAGCCCAGGCGTAGTGCTCGCAGATGACGCACCAGTGCTTGCGTTGGCCTGCAAAGTGTGGAAACTCCTTCTCCCATAAAAATACCACCGCCTCCACTTGTGCGTAATCCTGTCGTTGGCGCATCGCGTATAGCATGCGGTCTAGCTTGCCTGTTGCGGCCTTGAGCTGTCTCCTGGCTCGCATGAAGCCCGTCTCTTTGGCCACTGCCGCACAAGGATCCGCTAAATCCATCGCCAGTTTGTGTAAACTCTTTCTAGCTCTATCGATGTCCTTCGGGTCTGGTGAGCCGCTAAAGATGAGCGAGGGGAATTCCCCGACCTTCGCGTCGGCCTGCAGCGTCACCTCCTGGTCCTTCATCACCTGCTCTTTAACCAGTCTCTCCGTCTCCCGCCTCTTTAAACCTGCAGCAATCGTCGCATTTTCACCACCACTGGCGCGCAGCTGCAGTTGCAGGTAGGCGTTTAGACTCTGAGGCTTTACACCTGACGATCTTCTCCCCCCGCGGGCTGGCAGCCGCTTATCTGAAGCTGCCTCGTCATCGTCGTCGTCCTCGCGTGTCTGCGCAGTAGCCTCCACCTGCAGCGGCCGCGACAAACGCCGAGCCGTGACCAGCGAGCGCAACCACGACGAGCGCCGACGCGCCACCTTAGCCAGCATGAAGCTCAGATGACGCGGCTGCTGGTGTGTGGCCGGTGTTAAACGAACGTGGTGTACACAAATAGTGCATAATCATTCAAGCACATTATTGTGAATTCCGTCCAAATTTGCCGATATGGGTCTGTTTGAGGAGCGGGCCCATGGAAATTTTGAGTAGAACTCACAATATGATAATTATATTAGAAATGGCTACATTAAAGCTCCACCAATCGCGTGACGCCAAAATGAGGGGCTACAATCAATAGAGCTATTCGTGTCACGCCGATGCTCAAGCCTCGATCGCGCAGCTTGGCGCTGCTAGCACAGGTGCTGCGACGCTCGTCGACGGAACCAAATGTCCCTGCCTTGTTGAACGCGTCTTGGACCGTCATAAACCCGCAGATACCGCACCGAAACTCGTCCTTTGTGCCGCAGGGCGTTTTGGATGGGCAACAGAAGCCTAACAAGAGACCATCCTTCGCCATCGCCGCCGCCTTTGAGGGGCACGAGGATCTGGAAGATGATGAAGAACCCATTCATTTATACGGACACGAGGAAGAACATGAAGACCCGGAGGAGGAGCGTGCGCGCGTCCTTAAAGAGCAATTTCAACGCGGCATGGAGAAGAAAAAGCTCTGGATGCAGTCGCTGGCCACACAGAACCTCTACACAGCCATCGTCAAGAGTGTTGCTGACTGCTATGCACCACTTTACGCAGTCATGGGGCTGGAAGGCAAATGCCCTTTGCTTGCGGTAGCTAGGGACGAGGCCAAGGATGAGCACGAGCTTAAGACCCAGTACCAGCCGCTGCGCTTCGACGACATGCTGACTAAAGCTACGGAGCAGGAGGCTCTGGCCCTGCTAGTCATTGCCCAGCAACCGTTGCTGGCGCTGACTATCGTTGAACACCGGGACAAGCTCTCCCTAGAACTTGCGAGACGCTCGAAAGCAGGAATGGGCGTCGTACTACCAGGGGCGAACACTATGGAGGACGAGAACGTTGTGGCATTGGGCAGTCACCTCCGTATGTTCTACTCGTGGGCAACAAGTGTCTACGCTATGTGTGGTAAGACTTACTACTCCAAGTTGTTCGACATCTACAAACGCGCGCAAGACGCCGGCGTGTATGTGACAGCGAATATGAACGTCCAGTACTTATCGGCGTTGATCGAGGAGAAACGATACGACGAAGTGTTTGAATTTTACGAAACAGTCACTAGGGATAATCTTCCGACGTCGGTCTTCTTCTATAGACAACTGCTGTATGCAGTATCTATGACGCGCAACGTCGAGCTTTTGGACGGGATTTTGGAAGATATGCGTATCAAGGGCTTCAAGCTGCGTGCCGACGACTATTTGCGTGCCATTCGCACGTATGACGACGAGTATTTCCTTACTGAGACGAAGCCAAGCGAAAAACACGGGGCGAACAAAAGATACCAAGGTGAACCCAAGACAGAGGAGCAGGAACCCGTGGTGACCACACCCAGAGAATCATACGGCACGTGCTTAAGGCGGATTCAAGAGCAAGAGGATCACCCAGAGCGCTTCGAGAAGCTTGTCGAAGCCGCTCACGGCGTGTTGGCGCTGTTCGATACAATGGTGGACATTGATGGCCTGGCCCCGAGACACGAGCATCTGTTTCCACGTGTGATCACAGCGGCCGTGTACGCCCAGGAATGCGAGCGCGTCCCTGAACTCCTGGCTCTGCATGCTGAGCATGCTGACGACCCCCTCCACTATGCAGGTGTCCGTATGGCTGTAAACGCGCTCTTGTTGCTCGATAAACCTACCGAGGCGTGGGGTTTGATTCGCGAGACGAACCCGCAGCTTAAGCCTCATCGTTACGCGCTGGTGACCAACATTCTCGACTACTTGTGCTTGAAGAAACGCGGTGGAGACATCATCACTCTGATGCACGATGTGGATAAACTGGAAGTGCGGGGCGTATTCACCGTTGCCTTGATCAAACGATTGGTGCCTACACTTTGCCGCAGCGACAGCGTTAGTGACGAGAAGTTACTGGAGACCATGACGCACTTTAACGAAGTCTTCCGCTTGTCTAGCGAACCTCATTTCGGCCAATTCCTTCGTAAATGCTGTTATTACGGACGGCTGGAGGTCGTAAAAACTGCTCTAAAGCAGTGGTTGGCCACCTCAAGCAACAAGCATCCGTTAAACGGACCTCTTGGTCTTAAACTCCTCGAGGCGTTTGAGGGCGAGTCTGACTGGGAATACATGGCCGAAGTGTTCGAGTTGATCGATTTCTCTCTAACTCGAGATGAAGATAACCGCAAGGCTATCGTGGCCTGTATTTCGCGCGCCTACGAAGCTCTCGGTCAACCTGAACGCGTAAAGCGAGCAGAGTGCGTATCGGCCGTAGCCGAGAAACTCCAGAAGCAATTGCGACAACGCAAGTCAATGAAGCAGCAGCAGAAGAAAAACTATGAGCCCAAACGATCTGGTAGAACGGGTGATACTCAAAATGTCCCAACCTCTTCAAGACCGACGATGATTGACGGTATCCCCGTCCTTTCCTCGTCCTCATAGATCACGATAATGCAGAATCGAGCACTTGTCAGGTACAGATGGAGTGTGTTTGTTGGGTAAATTAGTATCGATGATACATTGGACAAAGCATGCCAACTACAGCACATTTCGGTTCCCAGGAAGTGGCTTGGTCAAGCGGACTGGGAGAGGAATACGCGGTGGAGTAGTCAACAACAGGCAAGAAGCTCGCACGCGAAAGAGTCTCAGTGTCACCAGTAGCATTTTCCAATTTAGCGATGGGTCATCCATTCGAAGAACTCAAAAGAACGTGTAGCACGAAGTGCATTTGTCTAAAACCAGGATCCTGGTCTATCGGAAACTAGGAGTTCCTCCTGCAAAGCTGTTCACTCAGACCTGGGCCTGTGCATCGTGCAAAGTTGCTGCAAGAAGCGTACTCGTCAGGAAGAGCTTGTTTAGCTTCAAGCAAGCGTACTGCTCGCATACGTCACTAAAGCGACCGAGAGTCAAAAGCGCTTTCATGTAGCGCTCGAAAAACTGTTGGCTCAGAGACTTGAAGCCTGATCGAGGCAGCATCTTCAGCAGCGCCTCACACATCCTCACATTGTCCTTTAATCTTCCGCGTTTTTCGTTCATATCCATGATGGCGATGACGCTGTTGCATGAACCGCTAGGAATCGTCGCTTTGCAATCTCTTTCACTACCAACTCGCATTCATCGAACCAGCCGCGTTCCAGACACTGTTGGATGAGCACGTACATGACGTAAACTGGGTTCTGCACATTGGTATGCGTCTTCCAAAACTCAAGCGAACTCTTCATAGATTCGTGGGGTGAACGAGTCTCATGGGCGTCGTCAAGAATCGTCCTTACAATTCGCTGGAGCATGACGCGACTTGTCTCGATGTGGAAAGACTCCATAACATCGAGCAACTCGGTAATACTCGACATGGGAAAGCCACGATACAGCATTTCCCGCAGCACAAACCCCAGCACTTGCGTCTTCGCCTCTGCATCCACACCATCGGCAGCAGCCAGCCACTCGCGCATCATACCCATCACAACATCAGATCGATTTAGTCGACACGCTTTACGTAGCGCTCGGCGGAATGGACCCTGGTACAGCGCCGTGAAGTTCTTCGAGTGCAAGCCGAAGGTCTCAAGCGCAAAGGACAGTGCACGGTCTTTTTGCTTCAGATGTAAGCTAGTGTTAAAGAGTGCGAACCAGAGATCAGGGTGGAGCACATACGCGGCATCATCCTGCATCACGCGAGCAATCCAAAGCGCATTTTCAAGGTCGCTTTCGCTGCGGTTCTTCTTCTGTATTGCGGCCTTAATGGCAAGTTCGTAAGGTGGCAGCGGGAGTACCGATACCGGGTTCTTCTGCGCCATTGTCTCAATGACTAGTCGAGCCAATGTGCTATCTTTTCCCTTCCGACAACCGATAAGCAGCGATGCCGCGGTCATCGCGGACTCACAGGCAGTTTCCAAATTGCGAGTATCTTGTCGAGCGAATTGGGCGATCTTGTGGTAGTTATGCTTTGCCATAAGTAACTCCAGATACGCGCTACGTGCAGGGGCCCACAAGCGAGTGGCGCGCACAAAACCTGACACAGAAGATGAGAGAGTTTTGGATGCTCGAGGGAACCCACCAGCTCCCGCTTCTACTGCGGATCGCTCCTTCAGCCAATTCATGCGGTCGCGGCTGTAACTTTCAAAGAACTTGATGGCTCTTTCGTGGTCGCCAAGAGCGTAAAAGTATTTCACCAGAAATGCTACCACTGCAGCCTCATTGGCAGCAGTAATGTTCTGTTCCTGTGGCGTTGAGCCGACGAACATTGAGCGGCGGTTCGACCCAGCAACACGCTGCGCGAACACGTCAACGGGGAGCATATGCAGTACATCGCCAGCGTTTGTCTTTCTGTCTGCGGTCTGGTTGCCTTCGTCAGCGAGTCGAAGACCTTCACCGGCAACCACAAAAGGGCGGCATTGCCTCATGACGTTCCACGACTGCATCAGTTGCGCCAGGTCGGAGGCGCTTCTTAGGTGCTGCGCAAGGTCCGAGAAAACCTTCTTGCCATGGGCTACTTGACCTGATCCTGCGTCCTAAAAAAAACGTCGGGAACTCGACGTCTGCGGGGATCTGCGGCCGCCATTCGCTACTCGCTCTCTGGTCTTGGGTGTCAGCAGTTGCAACCTTCTTGTCGTCGTCTGCGCCGCCGCTTTTCAGGCGCGCCAGGATTTCTGCTGGGTTCCAGAACGTGCGCCGTGCCACCGGCGTTGGCGATGCTAGCCCACGCGGCTACCATCGCCGGAGCATCTTGACTGGCCACACGTTGCTTGTCAAAATCACTGGTACCTTGTACCTAAGAAATGGTACAGGCACAGTTCAAATGCTTCATCAGATGAGGGTTTTGAATCAAAACTTTTGATCAAATGCCTGTTGACAACGGGGCATGATCTTATCTCTTGAGATTCGGCAAAAATACCTACCTGCCTCTTTCAAGCCTAGGTAGGTATTTTGGGTGTATCCCATTCGGTATTCAAATGGGAGCTGTACCAATCTTTGGTCAAATTCAAATTAGGCTTTCAAGTTCCTCACAATAATTATCAAGGCAAAAATACAAATCCCTGATGATTGGTAGGACCATAAAGGCAGTCTCCTCCAAGTGGTCGGACTAGCGCTTCACAGCGAGGATCATGAGTGAAAATACGGGGACACAAGCGACATAGGCGACCAGTACGAGTACTAGTAAAGTCGTTGTGTTCAAAATAGGAGTACTGGTACTCCTATTTTGAACACAACGACTTTACTATGGCAAACCATCAGTAAGATGACAGAGGGTGTCCTTGTCAACTAATGCTTCGCGTAGGTTAACGAGGTTTGTTAAAGGATATTTTCTGTGCCGATCAGATAGCAAAGCAAGCCCTATCATCAATTTAATCGACCTATTATAGTTCGTCCCACCATGGTGTTGAGCGTTCGACACATTGAACTAGTAGCGTACGCAACAAACCTTTAGAAACATCCCGCATGAAGGTAAAGGGCGATGCATGGGATAATAGTAGCATACATCATCTGTTCAACAGCTCGCAATTCATGCTCTATTGCATTGCGTTAGATTACGAGCACGTAGTGCTGGTCAAGTATGGTTTGATACATCTCAGCAAGCTTTTCGAGCCTCCGTCAGAGGCGGCTTGGTTAGTCCCGGACTGCTTAGCCGAGTAATCGGTCCATTGATGCATTCCATAATGCGTCCAACACTAGAACATGTACGGTTCGGGAGTAGGTATTTTGAAAATGTAGGAATAGGTATTCTGTGCGTTTTCTTTCACACTACCTACTCTCAACCAACTTGAGATTTATTGTCGTCGCCCTTCATCGCTGTTCAAGTTGCTTGACAAGCAGCCGGGTGTCCCATAGTAACAGCATGCTCGCCAAAGACAGGCTCCCGGTATACTTGAGCCAAGTTACTCACGTTCAACGCGTCCAATTGGTCTTCCTGACCCGATCGATGCAACGACCACTTCGCCGACTCCCTTCATGTAGCGCTCACATTCGATTTCTCCGCAGAGTTCTCCGTCCTCTCTCGTCATGCGTGTCCTCAGCTACGTTTTCCTTTTAGCCTCCGTTGCATCGGCCGCGTCGGTTATCACCATCGATGAAGAGATCACCAAGCTGGAGTCGACGATTGCCGAGCTGAAGGTAATCAAGGCCGCTGAAGAAAACAACAAGGAAGCTCTCAAGTTCGTGTCAACTGCGGCCATGGCTTCCTCTTCGAACGGTTCCGGCAGCTCCAGCTCCACCGTCACCGCTGGTGACACGTCGGACAACAGCGAGTTCGACATCGAGCCACAGCCGACACGTGCCACCACAGAAGCTCCCAGCGCCGAGTCCGCCTCTGCAAGCCAAACCGCCAGCTCCACTACGAGCAGCGGCTCCGTTGAGGCCGCCACAAGCTCCTCGGCCGCGAGTGCCAGCGCCAGTGCCAGCGCTAGCAGCAGTGCGTCCACTGTGGTGCCATCGGCTCTTGCCCTCGTGACGGCTGTCGTCTACGCCATGCTTTAAGCGGGCGTCCCATCGTCTTACCGATCGACTCCATTTTCTCGCGTCGTCGTCGGCCGGCTACACTGCAGAGAAGAAATCCTTCGTGCTGCGACTTTTTGAGCACCATCTTTTTATCTGAACGAATATACTTCGACTTGTTTGACGCGATATTGCTGTCGGATACTGTATTGCTGTTCATTGCCTCTACGGCTGCTGTACCTCGTTTGAGTGCTGTCGATATATATCCTCTAGTACTAGAAAGTTCGTACCCCACCAGAGCGGATGATCATTGAGTAGCGAAACTCAAGAACTGTCAGTCTGACACAATGCTGCAGGATTGACGCCGCTGACATGGGGCCTTCTTCCATGTTTTATACCTGGTCGTCGGTGCCACGTCGAAGATCGCTGAGCACCTCAGCTCGAAGAGAGTGCCGATTAAGGTGAAATGAACATCCTTGAGAACCTTCAAAGATCAGAAAACTTGTGCATGCCCTGGGTGATTGACGAGTTAATGCCAAGTAGATACCCGGCAAAGAGCGAGAGTTCGTCGAAGACGGCAATGTACGACCCAGGCAAGACACTTTCTCATCCCTTTTTTCCGCTACAATATTAGGCCTAGAAGTAGTAGAGTCTCGGAAACTCCAATGCAATGCAGTCCACGTTGAAGCGACCACTGTACCAAAATAGTGGTACTGTATTAATCGGTCCACACACCACGCATTTCAAGTCAAGATGCTGAACTCGAGACGCGCTCGAGTGCTGCCGCCGCGCCAGCCGCAACGACTGATCTGGAGCCGCGCATCAGACTTCGTGGCGTGGTTGGGCCTGGGCCCCAATACCAACCCCGAAGCCTCCGGCCAGCAGCAGACACAGCCACCCAAATCCAGGCAAGCACCAACGTCATCTCCGTCGCCTCCCAGCCGCTTGGCTGTCAAGCGCGTACTCAGGCCGCAGCCTCCCGCCGACAATTCGTTCCCGACTTTCCAGCGCTCGTTGGAGTCGGGTAAGCGCAAGGCTGCGGCCCACGCGCTCGGTCGCTTTTCGTTAGAAATCAAGCATGTTCCTTCATCTACGCAGCTACTGGACGCTTGGCAGGTTGTTTCGCAGTGTCGGCCATTCGTAGTGGACAGTGAAAAACCGCTTCAAGTGCGCCTGGCAACGGCGGCGGATGTGGGCGATAACCGGCCTTGGCTGCTGCAGATTGTGCCTGCCGACGCCTTTGCGCAGCTCTCAGTCGACATTTCCACACGCTCGATGTTTGTGGGCTCCACAGGTCCTGACCTGGACGCGGACGTTGTGGTGGCCAATGAGGCGCTGATGGTGGGTAATCTGGTCAAAGCTTTCCACCAAATGAATGAGCACAAGCTGGCGGTGGCATTCTTTGAAGCCTACGACCGCGACCGGAGAGTGTGGCTGCAGGAGCATCAGCTACGCCAAGCAGCCAAGGTGCTCGACGACGACATTAGTTATGCAGACGACGAAGATGAAGCTGAAGTGGAGGCGAAAGAGAAACCGGTACCGATCGAACACGTCACTCAGTTGCCACGCGCTGTATACTCGTGCTATCTTCGCTCCCTGGCTACTTTGAAGCAGACGAAGAAGATTGTGCGGCTTTTTGAGAACGATGAGCACCAGCTCGAGAGAATCTGCAGTACCGTTCCCAACTTGCAGTTGCTTCTCCATGCCTGTTACAGCGAGAAGAACGGGGAGCTGGCAAGACGCGCGATTGACACGATCACTCATTGTTCTCCTGCCGCCGTCATTCCACTGGGCTGCTATGAACTCGCCATTCGATCCAACCTACGCGATCGCAAACGTGACGAGCGAGAATTGGTAACTGCGATTCACCTGGCTAAAGCACTGCAGAACGATGGAGGCTACACGTTGAAACCCGACATTTGGAGCGGCCTGATCAAGGTCAGCTTGAATATGAACCGTCCAGACCTCGCACTCGAAGTCTTCAAAAGTTACCCACGCCACTGCATACCTGAATACCAGACTAACTTCCGCCAGGTGCTGCGTGCAGCCTGTCGCTTCACAGATTCGACTGCGCTGGATATGATGCACTTCTGCTGGGCCAACTACGGCAGTGAATCCTCCAATGCGAAGACGCTATTGGAAGATCGAAAAGCGTATCATGATACCATTTGCCTCAACAATCCGGATACTAGAGGACTGTCACTGGGGGATGCAGTTCTGGCATCGACGATTCCTGTTTTAAACAAGGAGGCTGAGATCGAGTTGCTCAATATGATGCTGTGGGAAATGCTCAAGCACCGACACGCCGTGCCGTCGCTCGTGCAGGTGCTGGATATCATGGAAGCCACTCGCTCGAAAGGTGGTGCAGTGGCCTTACGGCAAACTGTGCGAGTTCTGTTTGAGTACGACATGAAGAAGATGTCGCCTCACGAAGCCGTGGAGGGCTCTCTGAAGTTCTGGGGAGAGCGCTCTTCAGTGCTAAGTGGTCAGGGATTTCTGGTGTATCTACTGCTGGAGGAATGCATTGAACGCCACTGGGATGACGAATGCGAGTTCTTGGTGGACTATTTGCTGGAACTTGGCGTGGCCCGCGTGCCAGTCAACACGATCGTCAAGATGATGGGAAACAACGAGATCCGCGGACGGTTCGAAGCGAATGCTCGTATTGGTGAAAAACTCCTTGAAAGACTCTCGCAAACTAACCGCTCGAAGCTGCGCGACGACTTTTATGAGCGCTACCTCATGAGCTACCTCCGTCTCGAACAATTCGACAAAGTGAGTGAGCAGCATACCAAGCTTAATCTTGAAAAGCGTTACCCCCACAACGAGGTGATCCGGACAATTGTTCAAGACGCAACTACACAATAGAATAGTGGTCGTCAATAGAAAAAAGAAGAAGATTGGTGTTGATCTTTTTTCATGTTGGTAACTTCCTTTTGCTACCGTTGTTGTTGTTTTGATAAATAGTTTTTTGCGTCTCGCTACAGAGTGCAGTACGGTGAACTAATGGCGTCCGACACTACACCTGACGCCGCCTTTGAATGGCTTTACCACTTCTCGGTGTGAGCTTGCTCGAGTGCAATGCAGATAAGCACCATCAGTGACATATCAACACCGCCCATGATGGCCAGGAAGTATTCGTCGTCCGGCTGGCTGCTGGATAGCGAGGAGCTGCGCGCAGTAGCGGCAGAGCTGCGACTGCCTGCCGGGCGGAAGACCCGACCGATGGTCGTCCGCGAGCCCTTGCGGCCCTGCTCCATCCAGATCGACGCTTGGCGCTTGGACCAGTTTCCAGCGAGGCCGATGCGGCACTTTTCGCCTGTGGCGGGACTCTGGAATTCTACATTGAGCTCGGGTTGTGCCTTAATGGAGAAGAGTTTGGCCGCTGATGCTTTCGCGTCGAATACATTATAGGTGGGGACAGGAGCCATGAGCTCGCGCTTCATATGCACGAGTGGTCTACGGTGAGGGTCTCGCAACGTTTTCATAGCGGACGGTGTGCCCTGGATCCTGAACACATCTTGGCCCCATTCGGCGTCGCAGATGACAAAGTCTTCGTCGCGCGGAGAGTCCCAAAAGCGGTCGCGGAGACGGAGTGTGGTGATGGCTTTGGCGCACAAGTCTGCTTCGATGGGTGCGACCTGACGCGCTTCCGGTAGTTTCGGGATGGCGGAAGACGATGCGCAGCCCATTCTCAGTCAATGGTTTGGAATGGTACTAGACAAGTGAGCTTTGGACCTCTTGGGAATTTGAAAAATGTGTTGCCCGTCAAATGTTTCGGGATCGATAAAGTAATAACAGACCAGCCGGATTTGAAAAGTCTGGGAAATTCAGCTGGGCTTTGCCCTGTCCAAGTCGGGTTACAGTACACCCAACAGCACGATACAATAATGGAGCGCCGAGTGTAAGCATGCACATTTGCCTCTACGCGACAAGGTCACCCGGATTGCCTTCTGCACCTGCTCAGTCTGATTGAAACGAAGAAGCACTGGCCGCGATACGGCGAGAGCTCGAGGAAGTGCGTGGAGTGCAAGACAGCGTGCAGGACTGCTAACTTTTCTGCCATGAGACCGCATTCCGAAGCCAGCGTTCACCTTGTCGCGTCGCCGCGCGGTGAGCGGCGCCGTTGCGCAGAATGCTTCAGCTCCTAGATAAAATCTCGACATCCGAACGTTTACAAAATTCAAGTGCATAGACCACAAATATGCAAGCCCCGATAGACTCAACTCGCTAGTCGCGGGGCTCGACGAGGACGGCTGCTCCAAGCGAACGGTGCTCACCATGGACACCCCGTTGTGAGTCACACGCTTCGTCTCCTTGTTTGGCTGCTCCGCGTTCAAATCGAGGTGCCTGGATTTTCATTTCGCTTGCAGCAAGTCACTTTCTTCCGAGTTGTCGCACTGCAATTGTTTATCGTATCGGTTACCCAGTACTGCGGCAAGCAATCAGTCGGTAAATCTGTCTGTTGGTGCACAACTGTGTGACACGGTTTTGAGAACGATACGCTGGTTGCTCTGGACAAGCTGCCGCTTTGTCAGTCTAAAGTTGAGATGCTTCTTTTTGCAGTCAAGCCGCTGGAAGAAGCATCAAAACGTATTGTTGTTATACATGTAGTTTATAGTGAGGATTTCACAGTGTTCTTGTAGCATGGCACACTGGGCTCTTCTCGAATTAAGAGCGTGCAGGTGCTTATAAACCGCAAGTACAGTACACATAAATCAAGAAATACGTATTATACAAGTACATTGACTCTCAGTAGAGACGAAGATACTTGAACGAGGTCCTCATAGCTGCTTGGATAGTGCACATTTTATTCGAGTCGATGTTCGTGAACAGAGTCAGTTTCATCCACATGTCTTCAGGTATCTCCAAAATTTTACTCAAATTATTCTCTGGTCGATTCAGGCATTGGCTTTGCCGATATGGTGAACCGTTGGTGATGTCGAACGAACAGCAAATATTATCTTTGCGATCGGAGCTCCGCATTTCTGGCTAGGAAATGGAAATACGGACGCTATTCATTTTAAAACATATTATTTCGATGTTCTTGGTACTACCTGTACAGCAAGTCAAAGATCGGGTCTGGTGTTGAAGCCAAACCTGCGAATCTACTGCTGCGTATGCTCATCCTCGAAACCCTCGTCGAGTAGGCCGATGCAGATGAGAATCATCATCATGCGGTCCACACCGGGGGCAACGTCGACCACGACACTCTGACCTTCCTTAGTCTTGGGGTTCTTATGCGTGTAAGTGAGGCGGGCAATGGTCTGCTGCACGTCGGCCGTCTCGCCTGTACCGCGCACGAGCCAAAAGTTAAGCGAGTCGCTGCCGTCCTTGGCTGGATCGCAACCGAGGGTGCAGTGCTGGCCGCCGACCAGATCTGTGAACTCCGAACGCACCGTGGTGTCATCAGCGGTGAACTTGAAGGCGTAAGGAGTCTGCAGACAAAACGTAAAATTAGCAAAATCCACGACGAGAGAGTGGGGTAGCAGGAAAGTATTACAATACCTCCTCGTGTTCCGTCCTGGGGTAGGCACTATAGGTCGGCGTACGATTGAACATGCTGAGACGCAGCGTGGCCACGGGTAGCTCGTTGCGAGCGTCCAGTAGTGTGCGCTGGCGGTGCAGCGAGTACTGCTTCTGCTGGATGAGAAAGAGCGTCTCGCGCGTGCCTACGTCCACCACCGCGTCCGGCGTGATGCGGAGCTGCACCGGCTTGGAGGCAACCTGTCCTGCGTCAAACGCTGCGACAAAGTGACGCAGCGCAACGAGTGTCTGTACTTTGGAGGCAACTTCGTGCATGTCCATGATTGCTGGTCGGTGGTGACTACTGGAGCTTTGCGGTGGCGGCAGCGGTTGTGTAGCAGGCGACGAGTGCTGGAGTGAGCTATGTGTCTGTCCGTCGGATACGATGCGGTACGTCTCTGCCAATAACCGAAGCAGATTGCTGTTACATACATTGACCAAGATAAAAATTGTACCCACAAGTCGTACTTATCTAAGATGTGAGTCAGCACCTCACTGTTGTAAACGAATACAAACGCAAAGCTCCATTGAACGCCTCGAAATCTAGTGTACGGATAGCAGAACTTACTGTTCCACGCAATAGACTGCCTTCACCTCTTCCAGCCACTAAATAGATTAGACGAACGTCGTCGGCGTTCGCCACTTGTGATCCGGTTCGCTGTCGTGCAAGGCGATGCACACGAGGATGACCATTACTGCATCCACGCCCTCTGCGATGTCCACTGAGTAACCCAACGGCGTCCCAGCTGGCGCCGGGTACATATGTGCGATGGGCTGCCTAGTCGTGTCTGGCGAGATGCCACGCTGCAGCCAGATCTCGATGTCGCCCTGCTCGCCGTTGGAGCCAAGTCGACAGGTCTCGCCTGTCATGATGTCCGTGAACACCATCTCCAGTTTGCTGTGCGACATCGTGAATTTGAACAGCGGCTTCTTGGATATCTCCGCCCGCGGATACAACGAGTAGGTCGCTTTACGGCGGCGGAACGCACTCATGCGGATGGTGGCCACGGGCACCTCGGTCAGGTCTAGCAGAGACCGTTGGCGATGCAGCGACAACGGCTTCTCGCGCACTTCAAACAACAATTGGCCCGTGGCGTTCTCCAGCACACCAGATACAACATGTCGGTCGATCCGCCACTCCACGTTAAGATGCAACTGCGTGGGCTCGTGGCAGCAATAGCCGGCGTCCACCGCAGCGAGTCCAAGATGCTGCGTCCCCAACGGTCTCCGCTTCTTGATCGATGGCGTTCCCAGCTCAGGCAATGCGAATGCCACTGCGCAGGATACAGAGTGGCTCGAGGATGGCGAAACCTTCGAGGGAGGCGCACCGGTGGTTCTCCTACCTTCTGAGCGGCGGCGGATCATCGATCGTGAATAGAATGCCCAGTGATGACGAGTGCTCGTTAGAAAAAAAAAAAAAAAAAAAAAAAGCGATTTGCAACAATACAAAGGCGTATGAAACGTGTTCACAATACAAGGAATTTGAAGGGATTGGTAGTAATAGTAAGACCGGAAAATCATTTTACTATTACTACCAATACCTTCATTCGCCCATCCGAACTAATGTAGTAAATTCATATTTCCTCCTTTGTGACGATAATAGTAATATAATTTGTATTTGATCACCTTGAATGCAGATATCAGTACTACAAAAACAGTTTACTATTAATAGTTTTGACCACAGAAAACTGCAGATTTCGTAGGACATTCTCCAACTTCCGTAACTCCACCAGATGCGGTAACATATTCTACCGGATGGGACGTCCTGAAAATTCTGATTATTGATTTGGCGACTCTTCGTGAAGACATACAATCTTCTATATATAACTCAGAGGCTGAGAACATACGTGAATTCTCAGGATAGTAGTCCCGAACAGAACGGCAGGCACAGACGACGCTTTGCAGCTATTGGAAGCCGAAGTCACAAATGCGCGCTCCAACACAATCTCTGCGAACTCTCGGTCGTCTTTTCCTGTAGGTTTTCGTACATAATCGAGGAATGAGTTTTACCGCTCGCTTTTTACAATGGATGCTAAAGATCAAAAGAGATTTGGTACTCGACGGCTTTGCGAACAGCATTAAGTTAAATGCAAGCGGTGAAGCGAATAAGGGCTCCAGATAACCCACCAACTAATTTTTCTTGCATCACGGCTCGTGACTTTATGACTTGGATTGTCTCGCTGAAGAATCCAATGGAGCGTACCACAGTTTTCTACCTACGCTGGCCATCGCTCAGCTTTTTGCAACCTGTTTCAAGACTACCATTGCGTAATGTCAACGGAATTGACACGTGAGATGAGCTGCCACTTCAAAGTTTTACAACATAAGGTGGCTGCATCTATTAGCCAGGGTCTCGGTCAAATCACAGTCGGCAAAGATCCAATGGCGCTTGGCCTGTATAAAAAACTTGCTTTCACAATGCTGCAAAGCCCATAGCGAGACATGGTATTTGCCAGGATGTTTATGATTATGTCGTGGAACCTTGCTATAGTCATTTGGAGTGGCGCGACGATGCGCTTTGTGTATATTTCGCACACATGAAAAAAAAGATCAACGTGGTACACGACCTCGAGATCCGCGCCATGTCTACACTAATCCGTTGTCACCCGAGGTCTGCCCCATTCTCGCTCTCGGTACGCATTTCTTTAAAAATATTTTAAAGTGATCAATATTCTTACAGTTTCTCTACTGTGCGTACAGGAGTGTATTGGTCGACGTAGACACTGCTGATTCTCATTTGTTTCCGGGAAGCGATCAATATGAGCGGTTTCGGAAGGTGTTGGGCCGAGTCTAAGAGGGGCCACAGGTAGCTAAGGAGCTCGAACATCGAGGAGTTGCTGCAGGAGACCTCGGAACTCAATCAATGCGGAAGGGGGCCTCCACAGATTGCTCGTCAGGGTCGACAGCATGCCCACCATCCGTATCAGTTCAATTACGGGCTGGTTGGTCAATGGGTGGGGGGTGCAGGACCGATATCTTCGTCATGATGCCGTAGGTGACATGTTTGTTGGGCGAACAGATAGCGGTCTTCCGATTTTAAAGCCAGAGTTTGCATATCTTCCTCCACGTTTTGTCGATGGCGAGGCAGATGTGCAAAAAGCAAAACGACTATTGTGGTGAAGTGACAGTTGGCTTTTGGGAACAAGGGGCTGATTGATGGGAAGTGACCCGATCCAGCTCTGAGACTCGTGGTCGACGACGGCGCATCAGTGATTACGTCATCATCCATGAAGATTACGTAATCATC